GGACTGTAGGCAGTGTTACAACAGTGCTGCTAGTATTTAATATAATGGTAATTCCACCGCCCTAATCCTGTATGAGGTATAAGAGAGTCCCTGGTTTCCAAAATAAAGTCTGGCAGTCTGTGATTTATTCAAAGCAGCAGTGAATTAGCCAGCACAGAGCTCAGTGATGCTGCAGATAGATGGTTTCAAGCTGCTGGAAGATCTCTTTAAAGCTCTCTCAGGTGTCTTTCTGCTGCTCTGCATCTGGTATGATACAGCAGAGTTATTTCTTTTTATGACTCTGTATTGCTATTTTATCTGACAATGATGCCATGCTTCGTTGACAGACCTGCCATCGTATAGATTGTCACTAATTATACTGGTGTTGTAAGTGTTTAATTGTAAAGCAACAGTGGAAATGCCACCGCTCACCTTAGCAATTTGATTCTGGACTCATTAATCTTACTGTCATCCATTGGCTCTCAGTTGGTTCAAATTCTTCAAATTTCTCGTAAAGTTGGGTACGTGCATCTGGACATGCTTCCTGAGCTGAATCCATGCCATAGCTGAAGTGGTACTTCAGTGTTTTACAAACTCTACATTTGTCTTGTCTTTTTATGATATTACTGAATCACATTCTCTTTATGGCTCTCTACAATTTCTGGATCCACGGCAGTGTTACCACTAAGGGGCTGGTTGTCTCTCATCCTGTGTTCGTGCTGTTGGCTGGTTGGTCTCTCATCGCTGTGGTTCTGTAATTCTCTTTCAACCCATTTTTTCAGTCCATTTCTCCAATTCATAAATCCCATTTTGAAGTTTCTTCCTGTCCTCCAATTGCCTCAGTGCTCCTCTCACCTCAGCAGCATCAGTAAGAATCATTTTCAATCCATCAGCCCCGAATTAATGAAAACAAGGAGTAAGACTGGATACAGAACATAAAGCTCTGCAGAGCCATGTGTGAGGTTTCTTGCTGGTTTTACACTATTAAGTATTCAAAGTACGATTTTCCAACATTGTGGTCCCCGAGTATTAGGTTCATCCAGACCATATTTCCTCAGCCTGAGAGGTAGTGTGAAAGGCTTACTGAAGTCAACATAATACCTGCCATTTCATCCTTATCCACAGCATCTGTTATCCTGTTACCGAAGAACATCAGAATGATATCACACGGTTTGTTCTTGACAAACCCATGCTGCCTGCTACTCATCTCCTTGTTATTTTCTGCTGCTTACAGATCATGTCTGTAAGAAAATATTCTTCCAAGAATAAAAGTTTGTCTGCCTGCTATGCAGTTCACTGTTTTTTTTCCCCCTTTCCTCCTCCAGCTCTCTCGCATTGCATCTCCTGCAGGATGCTGGGCAATCTTGTCTCCATCATTCCTAAATAACCCCATTGACCCAGATGTTATTTCAAGTGTCTCTTCAGGTTTGCCCTCCTTATTGCTTAAACTTTCTGAGCCAGTGCCCATCATAAACAGTTTGTTTCACCTTTCTTTCCCTTCATCCTGTTGGTGATCTTTCATTTCCTACCATTCCCTCTATTGTAAATTGCCTGGTTTTAGTGTTGGGCTTTCTCTGTGTGGTTCCTGCAATGGGTAATGCCATTTCCCTTTTCCTTATTGCTTTGACTCTTCAGGTCCTTTCAGATCTGCCATTCAACTTCAGTTTCTTGTCTCTGCCTTTTATTTTTCCTCTTTTTTTTTTAATCTGCTATGGGCTGTCTGAATTAATACTTTAGTTTAGACCGTTTGTATGATTTTTAAATTACTGTGTCCTCTAATTTATACCATGTGCTATTTGCCTTGTTGCTTTATTTAATTCTCTAAAAGGTTTCAGGTAGAGTTGTTTGTATGTGTGACACACTGCAAAGTACAGTTGTGTTGCATAGTCTCCATATGCAATTACTTTCTACATTCTCCTTTTACTTACTGTTTTGGGAAACAACCTTTTCACTCCATTATTTCCAGAATCACGGATATGTAAAGGTGGTACCCCGGGGAATGGCAGAGGTGTGAGAAGTTCTGAATCACTCGTGCCCTGACATACCCTTTCTGAATGCTGCAGTGGTACAGAGCAAGATTTGGTATGCTGGTGGTGGTTATTATGGAGTATGTTACCCACTGGTACATGAACAAATAAGGAATTATGTTTTCTGGTTGGGTTCCAATAGTCAGGCTCTCATGAACTCCTTAAAAGGAAGGTACAAAGAAAACATAACTATGCACTAGATGCTGATGTTTGCGGAGCATGGACATGTGTGTATATAGAGTTATACAGTCATTCCTGGTCGGATTTGTTCCAAAAACATCTATTTGTTTTTTATATAGCTTCTCATTAAACAGCTATATATACATAGGCACTACTGATGTACATTTTAAATAAATAGGTACTGCAGCAAAATTTCATCATGATCAATACTTTTTTTTTTTTTTTTCCCTAAATTTTAGTGATGTACCTATAAATGTTCAGACAATCCTTGCTTGCTACAGCATGACCCAAACAGTGGAAGACTTTCTATTGATTCATGTGGATTTGTACAGGTCCGTGTAGAGCATTTAATGTCAAAATGCAGGCCAATGGTAGAAATGTAGGAATCTGAAAATATATATTCCCTGCTCTGAAAGAAAGGAATGGAAACGCATAAGAAAGATACCCAGAACTACAGAGGCACCAGCTACCCCTCAAGGTAGTGGCTTGCAAGCACTTCCCTCTTATCTTTTGGCTCAGGGGATAGTATATGTGCACTCTGAAGAAGGTTGGGTAGAATTTAACTTTTGGCTTAAGGGAGCCTTTAGTTTATTAAATATGGATGCTCTTGCTCGGGAGCAGTTGCAGGTAGAAATATGGTTTCTCTCTGCAGCACATCACTTTTCTTGAACGTACGCATTTGGGAAAGAAAACTTGGTTCTTCTGTACCTAAATCTTTTCTGTCTGGATCTGCCTATAAGAAATATCAATAAAAACTGTCAGATCGTAACGATTGCAGGATTTCTAAGTGTGCAGTGGTGTGATTGTAGCTGCCTTCAAATCTGTGAATTCATCTGCCTTGTCACGAGGCTGGCCTCTCAGCAGCACAGCTAGGAGGTCTGCATTACCTGTAATTATACAGGGAAAATTGCTCGAGTTAATGCCATGTCTAAACGCAGTACTAACATCTGCCTGTCTTGGCAGTAAGACAGCTACCACAAATATGCGATGCAACAGGCTGTCAAATATCCTGGCTTCTGCAGTAACTTGCTCTTCTAAGAAAATTTTTCCAGCTCCAGTTACTAATCAGGCTGTGGGTGATCTTTCTGAGCTCTGAAGCTATGGGATCTATCACTCATCCATCAGTGTCTGTCCTGCTCTCCCTAAGAGCGTCCCTTTCTGTCTGGATGCTGCTGAGGAGGAATCAGACCTGCTGCTGGGCAGACTGGGGGGAGAGCGACAGTCTCATCCTAACGAAACAATCAGGTTATGAGCTGGTTTGCATTTCAATTCCTGCTTTTGCAGGAACCTAAAACTGGATTGTTTCTTGCCGTGACTGCGGGAAGCCCCAGGAGCAGTTTGCAGTTCTCTCTGCTTCCAGCCTTTGGTGTAGTCTCATGGAAGTGTGTTTCAGAAAACATAACTTTCAACTGCCTGACACTTCCCAGACTCTTCTATTTCTTGGCTATAAGCGCTATCAATCAAATTGTTCTTGTCGACTAAGTGGTTTTAAATCCTGTGTGGAAAAATTGTCAGTCCAAGATCATACTATGTAAGGACAACTGTGTGACTGCTCTGCCATGCTAATTCATTCTTGCTTATGATGTGAAAATAAACTGATAGAATATCAATTTGAAGTTTTTAGACCTTGAAATTATTTAAAACCTCTTAAAGGAAAGACTAGGGCTGAAACTTTGTCTCCGAGGCATCATTTTTAACTTAACAGTAAGCTCTGATGGTCTTTTCTTTAAATTGCTTATTGTACAGATGCCTACAAAGAAAGTGCTTCTTTGGGACTGTTTGTGTTTAGTACCGGCATTTATTTCATTTCATGTGACAGATGACTCGGCTTCTGGATCTGGTAGCAGCTTGCTCCTCTCCCACTGGGGCGGGCCTTTGACCTGCTGAAACGCTACGATTGGGTTTGGGAGCCCAGGCTGGTGGGGCAGAGCCCCCCGGGCCCCCGTGGCTCCTGGCGCGCGTCTGCGTTGGCTTCGTTCGGCGTTTCAGTGGGATAAGAGGAGTGGGAGCAGTGCTGCCCGGGCTCTGTTAGCCAACACTGGTGTTCAGGTGCCGTTTCACTGAGGCTGCCTGTGGGCGGCAGGACAATTTGATATGGACTTAAATAGCGCAGCTCCTGCACTGCTGGGGGACCCCCGGGGGTCTTGGTGTCAGCCACCCCCCCCCCACAGCCCTCCTTGTCTGTAGGATGGGCATGCGCTCTATGTCCATGTTGCTGAATTTTTATCATTTAGTTATTTTTTCTGCACTCAGATCTGCTTTGAGTTATTGATGGTGTTCATGGAGATCGGGTCCCACCCGATAAAGGCCAGCGTGCCACCAGGCATGCCTTCTGTGTGTCGTCTCCAGGCGTGCCGCCCAATTAAGATTTAAATGTCTGAAAGCCTTTCATATCTGTTGTGATTGATATTCCGTAATTGTGGGGTTTCTCACCGGATTTCAGGTTAAGCTTCATAGATTTTTTTGATTTTTTTTATTATCCTAAGGCTTTGATTGTGAGACACACTTAGGAAATCCTGGAGGACTGCTGAATGAAGCTGAATGAACTCCGCTTTATTCTTCAGCACAGTCATGCTTTTTATTCACTCATAAATAAATGTGTGATTTCTGCTTGAGAGATTTTATTTTTTTGAAAGATGGGGAAATCAAAAAATTGAATGCAATCTTACATTGTGGCAATTTTATTTTAAGCAGATTTTCTGCTTTTTTTTTTTTTTCTCTTCACAGTATTATCATACAGCAGCTAAACTAATGAATATATAATTTTCTTTCCTTTCTGCTTGTCATGCCCTGCTAACATGGACATCTACAAAGGCTCAGGTTGGTGTTGCAATCTGTCTTCATCTTATCTTATTGTTCTCATTTAGTAAAAAGGGGCTTCGATGTTGTTCTTCATCAGTCAGCTTTTTTTCCCTTCCTCTCTTTAAAACTGGATCCAACATTATTACTGCATAACAGCTTCATCCAGTGAGGTGCCACATTTGTTTGTTACCCCTGAAACTATCCTTCAACTGCAGCAAAATATGCTGTTTCAGAAACACAGGACATTGATTTATTTATATCTACTCAAATTTGCTATGCTTGCCTAGCTTTGTGACAGGGAGACAGCAGAAGCTACAGCACCTACAGCTTCTGGAATCAGCAAAAATGCACTGAAACTCCCACTAACGAGTTTCTGCCTTGCTTTAGACCCCCATATTTGACAACATAGTAAAATGACATTTGTTAATATCTCATCTAGATTCAGTATTTTCTTGGGAGTGAAGAAACATAATTAAAAATAAAATAAAATAAAAAGCAGAGCCACAGGAACTGTCCATTTGTGACTGTATTCACATATCCCCCATTCACACTTTAACATCTCCATTTTTTTGTGTAACTCTGAGACTAAATTATCTTACCTGAGTAATTCAGGTAGAAATAAAAATATCCAGTATCTGCATGATATCTGCAGGGTTATACTCCGGGCTGTGTTCTGCTGCTCGAAGGCTGTAGTGACGACAAAACCTTGAGTAAAGCCAGGGAGGCAGGTTTGGGGCTGGGAGATGTGCATTCTCCCTTATTTTCTCACATCAAATGATGCCAGCTTCTTATTTTAACCTCCAGGAAGGAGCCCTCACGCTTTGCCGTATTACAACTTGGTGTTTTTAATGCCTGCACCAATCTTACAGAAAATAAAACTTCTTACTACTAGTAAATATGAATTAATAAACCTTGCTGAGCAACATGTTAGTTCTGTAAGTGTGAACTTTAATGACCGGGGTTCGACAGAGCTCACTTCAATTAATTTTTTAAACAAGGCATTTTCCACTCATTGCACTTAAGAATTTGAAATACAGCTTTATCTGTCTTCACATATTTAATCATCCATTAGAAGAAAATAAGGGATTTACTAGGAGCATTTTGTGAAGTCCAGCAAAAGACTAGATACAGTAAAAGCATCTAAAGGCCATGGTGAGGGAAGGCAGAGCATCCAGATTTCTTTATATCAAGAATACTCTGCTGCTTTCCTAATTTCTCCTCTTTTTCTTTTCCTCATTTTACAGCCAGAATTTTACAATGCTGCTTTTTTTTGATGGCTTCATCCTGAAATGTCTTTATCTGAACTTTTCAGCATCTGATTTTAAGCTGAGATGTCATCCAGTTAGAACAAGAAATAGGGCATTTCCAGATTCAGTCCCCCACTCCCTGAGGGCTCCCTCGCCAGCCCCTGATAAATTACTTAATTCTTCATCCTCAGTTTTCTCATGTGCAAATTAGGATTAAAGTTGAGTGGTTTTGAGGGTCGGGTTAAAATAGGTAATCAAGAGCTGGGGAAACCAGAGGATTGATAATTGTTTTTACCCTTCCTACTCTGTGAAAATAATTTTTCAGCAGTGTTTTTGAAGGCTATTTCCACAGCTAGTCTCTTAGAGAATGCTGAAGGATCTGTTTCTGTAGGGGCTTCCATACTGCCCGCAGGGCAGAGATTGGGAATTGGTATGTCTTTCTGTCTGTGCTATAATAATTATTGCTCTGACTCTTAACTCATATTTTATACTTAGAATAAAATTGATCTCATCCTTTTGCCAGCTACAAAGTTTTAGGCAGGTCTAGGTTTTCTATAAACTTGGTTCAATGCCAGTGGAGGCTTTTCATAACCTTAGCAAAGGTCTAATTGATTTTCTTTTTTGCCTTATCACAAAGGAGGTAAAAAACACTCCTTTGTCTCGGGTGTAAATGAAAAGTAAAAACGCTGAATTTGCTTCACGAATATTTGTGCAGGTATCTGCCAGAGACATAAAAAACTCAGGAATTCCAATTATTTTAGAATTCTTACCATATGCTGATCTATTCAAACTTTTCTGCTGTAAGTCATTCTTGAGCAATATTTTTTAAATTTTGATGGCTATTTGCAGCATCCAAATGCCTAAAGACAAGTATTCATCAGTGAAACAGCTGCTTTGCAAAATCCAAATTGCTTGAAAATTAATTGTTCAGTCAGTTTTAATATTGGTGAGCAGTTAGCATATTTCTGGTGATTGTGATCAATCTATAAACTAGCATGAAACAAAATCAATTTTATTTTAAAGAGGACTATTTAATGTTAAAATTTTAATGAGGTCCTTTTTGTGATGTAGTGTTTGTTAATGTGCAAGTACTTGTCCTTCAGATACAGTTAATTAGGTAAAGCTTTCAAATGCATGCTTAGATTTGCCAAATCAAACATGCACTTAAGTAATTAACAAAGTAGTCCATTTTGAATTCAGTTTTAAAGAATTAAATAAAAAAAATAAAATATTAGAAATAATATGTTTTGGATTAAATGGAATGTGAAGCCAGTATTAGAGCATTATAAAAATTATTCAGTTAATGTATGGGCACCTTACAACCTAAAAAGAGATATAGATGAGCTAGATGGAGACAACATAGAAGTCACATTTGCAGGTAATTACAATGGATGGACATCTTTGGAGCTGTATTTCCTACTGTGCTCTGGATCCATTTGTGTCAGGCTGGTTGCAAGAGGAGTGCTGGCTGTGGTCCAGATTTTAAAAAGTGGTGGCCATGATCTGGAGGAGGAGGAAAGGACCACTTTTGCAGCATGACATCCCACTGATGTCTCCTCTTGCAGCCTGGATATGCAGGGAACATAAAAGTAGCAATGCAAAAAGTATTAAAAGTGAGCAAATTGCTGGCCAGACTCTGAAGGAGTGGTTTTAATATCTGCGCTTGAATTTCCTTATCAGCAAGTGTCTTTGCAAACCAGAGCAAATCAGCTCTGCTTCCTATATGAGATCTTTTCTAGATTTGGTGTTACTCGTGATGGTCTCCATAGTTTAAACGTAGGTTGCTATCTGCTTGGTTCTGGGTGTTTCAATGTGTATTAGGTCTAATCTAAAATGAACTTACCTTAGCAATGAATGTAACCCATTTTTATTAGAAATTAATAGCACAGACATTTTCCTCAGGGTCTCAGGCAAATACTATAGTGATCAGTTTGGTTGTTCTAATATAATAAGCAGATATTGACTTTAGTTGAGGTGAACACCAATATTTACTGTCTTGAAAGCTAAAATATCGACTGAGGGAAAACCAGAGCCAATATTTACCTTGAAGGACAGTAAATCTTGATGTTCACTGAAATATGAAGTCACTATGATTTTCAGAAGTGTTGAACCTCATTCTAGTTTACTCTGCAGGTGGTCATCAGAAAATCTACCTGAAGTATAGGTATGAATTTCTTTTAATGAATCACATCAGTTGAGCAAGTGCGCTTGTTTCTCTATGTTCTTTGCAAGGTCAGTATTTTTCCTGACCTACATTTAAATAAATAAGTTACAGAACATTATAAATCACACCAAAGCGCTCTGGTGGTTAGATATTTGGACTTTTCATTAACATGCAAGTATCAGCTATTAAAAGAGAAAATAAATAGATTAATTTTTTTATATATTGTTGAAGTAACTGTTGACATCAATATACTTTAGCAAAGACTCAGGGTTTGCATGGGAGTGGCTTCCTTTATTAGGACAAGCCTATAACAGTTTGTCTCCTAAAAAGTAGCTTTTCTCCTTCTTCCCTTTAATTTATTTAGAACTGTGCCCACCAACTTGATTTTAGGATTTAGTTGTTGATATATTCCAGGCTAATTGTGGGTACAAAGAGTGATGCGGTGATCCTATGAAAGTCAGTGGAAAAACTCTCATTGACTTCAGTCAGACATCATTTCACCCCTTGCTTCATTGAACCCAAAATCCAGCATGTGAATACAAATAAAAATTGAGGGAAGCAGTTACTTTCCTAAAATGCTGTAAGTATTTTGATTGTGTTTATTTCTTGAAAGGGCTAAAGGGAAGGCACTAAGGGATGGAGCCAGGCCGGTGCCCTGAGTAGTGAGCTCTGCAGCTCCGTACAGGTCAGGTGTCTGCAGCTTCCAATGTCTTTCTCCCCCCTGAGCAGGGCAGAACTATGGGCCCCTGTGCCCATCGCTTGGTCTTTGTTTAGTTTCCGTCCTTCAGGAGATGGACTGTGGTAGTACAGCTCCGTACGTGTCTTAGGTGGCTCAGTCTGATGGTTTTTGTAAATGCACTCTCCTAGTGGGTTTGCGTAAATTTGGGGAAAGGTGAGCATTAAGCAGATTATTTTCAAAGGAACTGTTGTCTATGTGCTTGGGAAGAGAAGTGGCATAGCTGGATGAGAGACTTCTGTATCTGCAGCGGAGGTAGCAGATGAAAAATGTGATGTGGGTCAGGATGCTGGGACTGTGTCTAATTGGCAGCTTGGATGCACTCTGTGTTGCAGCCGGAGGTCCACGGGAGCACATCCCAGCCCTGTCCAGGCTCAGGCACTTTGGTCCCTGGGTTGGGTGAAGAGTGAGGATGCCACATCCAGTCCCAGGCTCTGCTCAGGGTCGGGACAGGGTGCTCCCATGGACCCAGGAGGTGGGAAGTGATCCCAGGTTCCCCTGGTTGGTGGGACCCAAAGAACAGCAAGGCTTAGCCAAAATCCTTTGAAAGTGCAAAATCAAGAACATCATCTGTTTGACCTCCTTAAGTACCACAGCTGTTAGCAAAAGATAGGAATTAAAGGCTTTAAGGTTTGTTGGGCTTTTTTTCAAATACAAAAAAAGAGGAATTGGAAGTGATTGAACACAAATGATGGCAAGCCAAGAGAGAGAAATGAAAAGAAAACATTGTCCTCTGGAGGAAAGGAATTCGTGCCACATCTCCGTCGTTTTTAAACACAAAGATACAGTCACAAATTATATTCACAGCTTCCAAAATGCATATCCACAGAGTTTCACCCGTGGAAATGCTGCATCTCTTTAAATCCCATTTAAAAGTGTAATGGAATCTACCGATACATGTTGTAGCTTGCTCAGAAGTAGTCTGTCCCTCCAAATGAAGCATGGTGGTGATTTACACCTTCCCAGTGTCTCAGAGGTGCTACTGGAGCTGTCATTGCTTGGTGCTGGTGCAGGGCAGAGGAGAGGTTGTTCACAGACAGGACAGGCGGTGGTGTCAGCACAGTGACTTAGGAAATCAGGTCATATGTGCCCTCCCTCCTCTGTCACCGAGCAGGATGTCTGTCTGTTGGAGGAGGAGGAGGAGAGCTGACGGGGCTTCACGTGTAATTGTACCGGCCTGACACAACTAGACAGCAGAACACAAATACTCTATTAATGGATTTATTATTGCGATCCTGCCTGCTCTCGAGAGAGCGCATTTGAAGTATCACTTCACATCACGTGTATTTGTATCACTGCATATGGAATCTCTGTTTTGTCCTCGCATCTATCCTCAGACACATCTCAGTTCTTGTGGCATCCCAGCCCAGCCCAAACTCTGCTGGTTTTCTTACCCAGAAGTCACATCAGGTAAATGCCACAGGAGGTCTCGACCACCAAAATGCAGTTGTGGCCAATTCCTGGTGTTGGGCCTCTACTGCTATCTGCAGGTGGGCTTTGCTGGTTTGGAGAGGTCTGAGGTTTAAGAGGTTTTAGCGCCGAGCGATGAGAGGTCACTGAGACAATGAGCCGGGATTTCCAAGCTCTTGGTCTCGCCCAAGCGAGGGGCAGAGGCCGCTGGCGGCAGGCGGGGGGTGAATGCTGGAAGGCTGGCAGTGCTCGCGCCGTGACCTGTGGGATTCACAGTGATATCCCCTAACCCTGAGGAAGGGTTGTTAATTAGAGCAAGGAGAGGAATCTGAAATCCCCAAAGCTGCTGTTTGTGCTGCGCCTGCCCCAGCTGCCCCGCTGTGCTTGTGGAGGGGCACAAGCAGCACCTGCACCGTCACCTCCCGGCCTTTCCCGACCTCATCTTTCTCTCCAAAAGTCTAAAGAGCAGAAACAGGCACCCACCCAGCTCTTAATAAATTTATTAATAAATAAGTTTTGCCTCCTTTAAGCCTGCCCAGTGAGATGTCTCCCCCTGGGCTGCAGGTTCACTGTCCCCTGGCAGCCAGTTCTTGCCAAGTTTGGCGCTTTGCTCTCTTTCAGTTTTGCCTCCCCTCTGCGACAAGGGAAACTCTGATCAAACCTTAAGCACGATTTTCCCTCCTCAACTAATCGTCTCCTGCAGACAGCAGCCTGTTTTGTCAGACAACACAGGCAGAGTGTAGTTTTAGCTTCCCCCCTCATCCCCCGTGGAGCCAGGAAACTAATAAACACTCCCTGTTTCTACATCCATCTCCTGGCTGTCTTTGGGGAACGTGAAGGCTTCGCAGTGCCTAAAGAGGGATTGTTACTCTCCCCGGGAGTGAGTGACTCCCTCGAGGGGAGAGGCTGGCTGGGGCAGGAGGGGACTTCGTGCCCGGCTTGCTCCCTTTGCTCTTGTGTACACCAGTTAATGAGCAGGGCTCCACAGCTAATTAGTGACACTTGTGGTGCTATTTGCTCTGTCTAGGAAACTTAACCTCTATATGCACTTTGTACAATACATAGCTACCCATATATCATACAGTTAGGCCAAATACCACTGCCTCAGTGTCCCGAAATCGTTAGCCCATAGTGAGGGATTGAGGGGCACTGGGATCTTTCAAGGACCTTCGTGTGGGCCCAGCGAAAGCTGGAAATGTCGCCCACCTCCTGTGCTCCCCCAAAAGGCTGCAGGGGGGGAGATGTTGTTGTACCAGACATGATTGCTGTGCGTATTTCATCCCTGATGTAGCAGCCCTAATAAATTTTGTATGCTCTTTCATGTTATTTGTGTACAGACTATGAAAAAGTATTTGTGCTTGATAATATGTGTGACAAACAGTACTAATCATAGTACTGCCTTTGCCCCCTTCGTTCCCCTCCCTTTCCCCTTTCTCTGCATGAAATGTGATGCTGTCACTAGTTCATGTCCTGCTTGCCCCCACCAGTCCTAACTTCTGTTTCATGCTTTCTTTTCTCCTTCATTTTGCACTTTTGAGCTTCTCTTACTCTTGCCTCTTTGCTACACCTATGTACAATGTATAGACAGACTCACAGTTAAAATTAGTTTCTGACATTTTCTGTTCCTGAGGGGTTTTCTTTAGCAAGTCATCTTCTTTTCATTTGATATGAAGGCAATTTTCTGGTGGGGCACCGTTTTTGTTTTCAGACTGGTATCTTGATCTCCTCATCCCTGCACCTCCAAATTGTTGCAAATAAGGATTCTTTGTTGCTGTGGCCACAGCATACATAGTTATTATCTACTGTTTTAAAATGAAGGTAAAAATTATTAAATGTGTGGCTTAATTTTTGGGGGGGGGAGAGGTGGGGGAGTGAGGTTGGGGAGTGGTTGGGAGGAAAGCTATTGATTTACACTTATTTAAATGGTGAGAACTGAACGCCTCCACAGCAGCAAGGCCAAGGAGATCTTGGTGTGTGAAAGAAGAAATTTTAGATGCACTATATTTTTCCAAGGCAGCGCATCGTGCTTCATACAAAGCATGAGAGAACACTGTATCTTCAAATCAGCTTCTGCAGACAAACTAGATTCAAAATAAATAATTTTTATTCATTACTGTAATGGAACTGTTGATGCATTCATTTATTTAAACCCAAAAATCTGCTAAAGTACTATATCTCAGTGTGCTGCTTGTAACAACCTGAATATCCGGCACCTTTTAAAAATGTTTATCAAGCTTTTGGCTGTAATTTTCTCTCTGCATAGATATCATAGTTCAGGTGAATACACAGTCGTGTTTGATTAGGAGATGTGTTAGAGATAAGTTACTTGCAGGGAAAAAAACATTTACAGTTTTTGTGTATGAAAATGAAATTTGTAGGAGGCATGAAATTTCATTCTTTTATGGTAAATGACTTACAAGGATATGTTAGAAGCAAAGGTAAATGAGTGCTGATTTTAAGTTTGTACCTTTGGAAACAGAAAAGAATGCAGTACATACAGTCCTGGTGAATGATGTGTGATAGATTGTAGCGAGACCAGTCAGAGCAAATGAAATTCTAATGGAGTTCCTCTTCTGGCTGCAGGAAATAGCTGTTATTTATCCTGTTTCCTAAGATGCTGCATGCATACAACTGTTTATTATATACTTAAAAATCCCTTGGCAAGTCAATAATGAATAAATAAACTTAAAGCTATTACAACACCCTTAGCATAAGTAGCGTAAGCCAGGATATTTTTCAGTGTACTTTTCCCTGCGTTTGGCTGAGGCATTTCTGCAGAGATGCTAACCTGGATAGTTCAAATGAACAGTTTTGATTCTTTCTCCTGGCAGGTGTACGAGGCGGTCCCATGCTACAGCGAGTGCAATCAGTATTCTTGGGTAGTAGAACCGTGGTCTCCGTGCAAAATCAACAGTGAACAAAATTCCCTCCACTGTGGAGAAGGAATACAAACGAGGAAAGTCAGGTGCGTGAAATCAAAAGCACAGGTACTCTAGATTAAAAAGAGCTGATACATACTTGCATAAAGCTGCGATATCTGGCCATCTGACAGTGAGTATGTTGCTGAGTCCGGAGTATTTCAAATGAAAAGAAACACGCATTTATGTGCAATGGTTTACAGGAAAAGCATCTTAGAGATGCAGCCTTGTGCTATGATCAAGACGTCTTTCAGGAAGAAGGCATGATGTTTAAATGGAATTTTTCAACCTAAATGCCATATATACATAAAGCCCTCTGAGGTGCAGAGCCTCCATATTCTGATTTGCTAACATTTTCCCCAAGTAATAGCACTGCACACACCGGGGTGGCGTTCATTATTAGTAAATATTCGTTCCCCAGGCATGGAGAAATGCTGAGTTATTTTCAAACGTTCCAGTGTTACTAACAGGAACAGAAAGGTTTTGTTCTTGCTGGTTGTCATTTTATATTTGCTCATCTGTCATCTGATCAAAGTTAATATCCCTCTGTGTGAAGTTTTAAATGTTTATTTAAAGTAGTTATTGAAATCTGTGTGTAACAAAAGCATGTTGTGCATGTAGCTGGTTTTGATTTACATTAACATGATTAATTCTACTTTTTGACAAGCTGTGCTGCATATAGCTACAGTGTCCTGTATGGGGTCAAGCAGACCTGTTGATATCCATCACGTCTGTAGTACGCTGATGATCCTCTGATGAAAATGTGTTTTCTGTGTAGGTGTGTGAGTACTGCTGAGGACCACGGAGGGGAGACTGTGCCCAACGCACTGTGTAATCAGGCTGAAATCCCAGATATGATGCAGAAGTGTAGCTTGTACTGTCCCAGTGAGTGTGCAGTGTCTGACTGGGGGCAGTGGAGCAAGTGTCCACAGGTAGGCTCTGCCGCTTGTGTCGCTGTGGCAACGTTCCTCACACGTTGGTCTTCTCCATCCTTCAGCCATTTCATGAGACAGTTATTTTCTAACAGAGTAAATTATTTTCTGAGGGAAGTCAGGCTTAATGGATCCTGCCAGCATGGTTGAATCTGGAGATACTTATATTTCTACAGAGACTGAGCTATAGAAAGTTAGTTAGTAAAATACATAGTTATTACTGTGACAGTTGATTCAACACATCCTTCCGCTTGATCTACAGGAGAGGGCCCACACAAGTAGAGTAGATAAAGGGACCAGTATTCTAGCTGCAGTAAGGGCTGTCTGTGTTAGGCATTATTTGCAAGGGAGAGCTCTGTGAGTGATGCATGACTGCCATAACGTCATGCTGGTAAACTGTGGTGGTGACACTCCTCTGGACAGGTCTTAGGCCTGAGGGAATGACAGCTCTCCCTTCCCAGCTGACGCTATTTCTGTCCAGTGTCTCCTCCTCCTCAAAACCTTGTGGGAAGATTTGAGGCAACGGCAACAGAAGGGCATGGCAGCAAGATGACTGAACAATTTGTCATGTCACAAAATACTCAAAACTTTGTGAATTATGCAGGGATTCAAGGCACTGCCAAGTGCTCTGCGTTTTCCTAAGTGTGCAAGATGGAAAGAAGCTGCAAATTCTGTCTTGTGAAAACTCTCTGGCCTCAAAGCATATCATTTCAAACCTATTGTTTCTCTCTGATCGGTGTTGAAATAGGTGCCAGGTTTAATCTCAGGGTTTTTTTTTTAATAGACTTGCTTGATCTATTTAAGTGACAAACATATATACCTTGCCCCTGTGTTAACAGGGCCATTATCAAAAGTCTGAGTGGTTATTGGACAGGTATTTATACTACTGCTGACACAGGTAATTTCCTTCCATAATATTTTGTGTAGCGTATCAATATACTCGGTAAGAACATGTCAAATAAAATCTTGTGTTTCATTTCCTGCATTCACCTCCTCCTGAGCAACATAGTTTTGATGAAGTATAGCACTCCTGCAACTGATACAGAGGCTTGGTTGGGGCTGTTTCTTTGCCATCGACCTTTTTTTCAGAGGTATATTTTCTTCATTTTAGCATGCAGTAAACTAATGCAGAGATCTTCAATGCCATCCGGTGTTTTTCAGGTGCCTTGGTGGCAGACAGTTGGTTACAAAGGAATCCTTGAAGCTTTAAGCACCCTAGTGTCCTTAAGACACCCTGAGCTTTTGACTTAAGGTTCCTTTTTGGCAGTAGTGAAGCCTCTGTAGCCCACAAAGCAGGAAAGGGATACCCAGAGCTTGTGGGCTGTACTCCATCAGGCAGCACATCTCTTGGCAGTCGCAGGGCTGAGTGCCACAGTCCCTGTGTCTACTTGTACATCCTTTTGCCACGGTAGATGTTAATTCATAAATGTGAGGGCATCTGTATGCCAACACAATTAACTGAACAATATGTTTTCACAAGCTGTTCTGCAAGGCTTTGTTGTGAAACTGAGATGACTGTGTGCTGATGGAGCATGTGTTTAAATAGTTCTGCCCAGATACAAGGCAATAAACAGCTTGAAGTTTTATGGACAGATAAAACCCTCCCTTTGACGAGTTTACAGCAGTGCTGTCTCCCTTTTATAGCTACTCTGGCTATTTGTGTTTGATTTTGAGAGAGGACCACACAGCACGGTCCCTCCCAGGAATGCACGTGCTTAACATCTCTGGGGCAAGCGGGGCTTGCTGTAAGTGCAGAACGGCTGTACCACGATGGTGGTGTATCTTCAGTATGTGTAGGGGTACTGGTGTGATGGAGCAGGGATTGAGGGGAACATGGTGGCCAGGAGTGAGGCAATGCCAGCACCAGGATAATTAATGCAACCCTCCATCTCCTGAGTCACCACTGGAAAAGGTAGTCACTGAGAATGCCCGCAAACTGATGGGCAAGGTCAGTGGAGTTGCAAAGGTGATGGAGCCTGTGGGGGATCCTGTTTCATCTATAAGGGAAGAGCTACATGCGGTTGGTTGAATAGCTCCACTGGTTGCAAGTGAGAGCTTGAGTCTGGACCTTGCATGGACACCCAACATATAGACACCCAAATACAGAAGTCGGCATCTGAAGCTAAATCTCATGTTAACTCTTTTGGTCAGACCTGCTGTGCTTCCAGCCTTGTGTCAAACATCTTCCCATGGAGCCCAAAAAACATATCAGTAAGTTTGTGTGCATAGAACCTCTTTCTCATTAGGGCTGCCTATTTAATTGTGTTTGAGGGAATTTTGCTCAGTGATATACGTATGCATGGTTTCTGACTCATGCCAAACTGGAAATAAATGCCTGTCTTCTGAGGATGCATGAAATCCTTTTTGAATATTTACCAAAAATATGTTTTCTAAGTATGGCTCCTTTCTTTTCCCCAAGTAATCTGAAAAAATTGAAGGATCACATCATATTGCAATGAAAAAGCAAAACCATACAACCTGGTTGCTCTTTTTCAAGCACATTTACATTTCATATCAAAATAATTGGCACTCTTTTAGTCATAGCACTCTTGTGAGGCAGTTGCCAAAGAGTATTCTGGGAAATCTTCCTGTATCTCTGGTCATGTTTGGCTTGCTGGGAATAAAGAGGATTTATGAAATTTGACAAATTCTAGTTAGTAAGAAATGAACAATCACAATTTCAGCCTCATCTTTGCCCCAGTAGCTCTTTGATTTGAGATATTTACCTAAGATTTTGTTCAGGTGAGAATTCTTCTCCAGTTGCTTTGGTGTTCTACTCATCTTTTATAACGTTGCTAATAAATTCATCCTGATGGCAGAATAACTAACTCTTATCAGCTGAATATAAAAAGGCCTTTTAGATTATCTGGTGTACCTTCTGTCAATATGTCATTGTACTCTGAATACTTTCTAGGGTATTACTTGGTTTTATCTTGTAGCAATACTCTTCCCATGTGAATCTTCCACTTTCAGGAAGGTAAATGATCTTGAATCATGTTGAAATCAATGGGTCATAAAGGTGATGACTTCTTTGTCAGTAGGAAATGTTTTCTTCAATACTTCTTTCTGTTAAAACATTGTATTTGCTCTACCTTTTTTTGGCTTCATTTTCCTTTTGCTTTTAAATATTTGTGTTTCTAGGGTGGTCTTTTGCAATTTCAGATGCTCCCACAATTCTTCTATGTGTATTTTCCAACTGAACCGCAATTTTTGCATCTTGATTATAGTGCTATTTAATACTGCTACACAAAGCTAAATTTTAATATTTCCTCTAATGGCACTTTGCTGTCACCCAGAAGTGCAGCTGTCTGAAATGTAATACTTTGAGGTTACTTTTGAGGTTTGTCTCTTTACTGGATTCAAGAAACTCGTAATTACTGATTTAAAGCTTCCCTATTTTTCTCACATTCTCTATTGTGAGAAGTAAATTCAGAATGGTTTTCCCTCTGATTGAAGACTGGTTTTTGGCTCATAAAGTTTCCTTCTTTGTCACTCAGTAACATCCATGTAACTTAAATATCAAGGCTTTAAAGCCATTTAAAATAACAGTTTGAAGATTGCTAGTTAGAAAAAATAATCATAAGCAAATTAGATTGACTTACATTTTGCTTCACAGATTTAGTATTCGTTCCAGCTACAATAGCATGTTCAGTCAGACATCATCACTTGATTGCTCAAAGACCCAGCTAAACAATCTGGAAACCAAAATGCTCCCATCTCTGTTACATATTCAGTGATCGAATAACATGCACTTTCTGCAGCATCTCGACTTTGTATTCATCTGACTTGGAAATGTAATTAATTGACTTCAGTTGAATTCATCAAAGCATTCTTAAAAAGAGTTAAGATGCGAGTTGTGTTACAAGTCCCTGAAATAATTACCTCAAATTTATTTTGTTAGCTCTCCGTCATGTGGATAGCTGTCACAGCCTCTGTAGCCCATCAGAGTGGCCTCCTTGTTTGCCTCAGCTGTTGGCATTTCTAGCAGCTAATTCCAAGAGGTCTGAAATTAGTTAATTATAGGAGGTTACATGTCTCGTGAGTGAGAACAGCTGTCTCTGTTTCAGTGAGTATTTTCCTCATGGATCAACAACAACGTACAGTGCTCAGGACTTATGACAATTGAGTAGTTATTCGCTTGAATCTGCAGGGAGGGAGAGTGTGTGTGTATGAGTGTGTAATATTGCAACAACAGATCGTATTAAAAGTGGCACCAGACAATAGACCTAACTCTCAGGTTTTGCAAGGACCATTGTAGATTTGAGGTGGAGTCATGGTGGTTTGGAAATGCCGACTGGAAGAGAAATTGTGGACACTTGTAGACACTAGGGCTCACTGCACGTGTTGCCAAAGTCTTCATCACAACTAGTGCCTTTATATGTAGGTTTGGCAGAGGACCTGTGGTATGGAGGATGGATTGAAGAATGAGGCTTGCACAGAGTTGTATTTCTAGCCGGAGAGGAAATTTATTCAGGTCAAGCATGAGATTTATGCTGGTCCAAGGGTTTTTGGAAGAACATGCACTGCTCCTTATGCATAGTTGTGACTTGAATTTTCCTTATAGCTTTATCAAGAAGTTGATAACTGCTGTATTTTTTAGATTTGTTGTTTTATTTTAATTCATCTTAATTAACAGTAATTTTTAAAAAAGTAATGTTTTTATGTGGAGGCAGATAAGATTTCAGAACCTTTGAGATGCATCTCAGAAAGAAAATTTATGCAAATCCATTTTCATTTCAAAAGACTGCTCATGTTATTGTAAATGGCTTGTTAAATTGTTACAAAACATCCACATCGGCATGAACAATATAATGGTTCACTGCACTGTTAAAAATAGTCAAATCCTGTTGCTGCCAATGCATTTACCTTAGTTTGAGGTTGTATGTTTCCGTATGAATAGCCAGTTAAATATAATGTGGCCAGCTATTTATAGTGCAGTATGCATTATACAAGCTGTTTGATAAATTAAACAGCTTAAAGGTCTCTCTAATGGGTTGCAA